TCTTGCTAAGTATTCGATGCCATTCCTTGTAATGGACGATAACCTGACCAGGAGAGACAAGAAAAAGATAGGTACCTATATGGTTCTAGAGTTGACGAAGCCACTGTATGGTTCTAACGGGAACGTAACAGTGGATAATTTCTTCATAAGTAATTCATTAGAGAAAGAACTATTAGGTAAGAAACTTACTTTAATTGGAATAGTAAGACAGAATAAGCTCGAAATACCCATGGAATTTCTGTCGAGCACAAGCCGCCGATACTGTCAGCCAGATGTGCCGTCATTACTCCTCCCGAAGAAGCGCAAAGCGATGGCCACTATGCGTCTTTCATAGTATGGTTGATAGTGCCACTATAAACGCTCTGATCGCATGGAACGGAAAGAACCCTCATGGAAATAACAGGAAAACACGTTGACGTCGCTCATTCCTTGCAGTCGGCAAAAATCTGACACGCAAGGATACTTGGCAACTTTCTCTTCATTTGCTGCGACACAATTCAACATGAACAACTAGTATTTTCTCAATATTTTAGTTTGTTTGAATATCTTCGGAAACTATGATCTCTGGGCATCGAAAATTCGTTCGCGTACAAAACTATAAGCGGAAAATGTTTCGTATCTACTACTGAAAAGTCATTAAAAACACACAAAGTAGTGTTTAACATTAGAAAAGGCTGTAGTCTGAGACGTCCTTAGATAGAGCTTCAACGATTTTTGCTGTTCTTTAGGAACTTTGAAGGTGATTATATTGCTTTGTCGATGTGCTTTATTAGAGAGTATATTTTGAGATAGCGAGGCACAAACTTTGGAATGACTTCATATTCTTACTCTTGCCTAGAACGCTTACATGTATTCCATACCTAGTTATACTTGCTTTTTTAAAATATTGTAGCCACCGTCAAGCAAAATTAAAACTTCGAAAACAGCGCGCATTTCGTGAACTAATGGCACTGAAAGCATTAAAAGATGTGAAATATGTTTCAATGCTTCGAGATCATAATATTCCAAAAGATGTTGATCAGATAACTGACGATCGGCAACAAGCATTATGGATAGTTATGAATTCTGCGGGACAAAATACGTTGTCGGACACAATGAGAAAGGATTCTTTTCCTAAGGACGGAATTAACATTCGACCAGCTGTTGCTTTTATTATTCAGCTGTTGTCCATTGTCCGAGACATCCACAGTCGAAATGTTGTTCATCGAGACATAAAGCCAAGCAACATCATGATTAGTTCGGACGAACGTAAGCAACCTACATTAATTGATTTCGGGTTGGCCCATATACACACAGACGATAGTGTCTTGAGAAAGGCCGAGAATTTATCGAAAGAAGAATCTGAGGAAATTGATAAGATTGGGGATGACATTGATTTCGTTGAAATTTCAAAGATTCAAACGCAGCTGGGAGAACGCATGGGAAATACATATTACCAAGTTCCGCAACTGATAAGTGCGCCGGCAAACGTACAAGATTTCCAAACTTTGATACTTTTACGTCGTAGTCCAAACATCGATACAACATCCGTGGCTGCTATTTTATTTGGATTGTTAACAAATATGTGTCCACAACAAAGTCGAAATGACAATGATAAAGCACCACATCAGATTAGTGACGCACGAGAGAGAATTAATAAGAAGGTTCAAGCGACAGACAGATCTGATCGAGATAAGAAACGAATGAGAAACTATCTTCTTCATACGTTCGATAAAGCTTTTGCTAATCTGCCAATGGAACAATGGACGGACGAACTTTTACATCTGCGACTGCAGCAAATTGACGGTTTAATTAAATTAGAGAGTCTACCCGACCATAATCCACCAAAAATTAAGCCAACGTCGCTATTCGACAAGCAAACTAAAGCAGATGATCCATTTTTGAAAACTGCTTTAGCTTTTGCATATTGCAAGAGATTATTTTCGTCAACATATCCAATATATCACAGGAGTCACAACGGTTGCGAGTGGGATAACCATGATAGCCCTATTAAACGAACAAGTACAGACGAAATTACATGCACGAAATTTGCTGGACCATATAAAATCATATTTCTTGCTGATATTTTCGGCGAGGAACTGGTTCTAACACTTGTTTGTGAAAACATGCATGCATCTCTGGAACGATACGATCGTAAAATACGAGCTTTCGATAGTCACGAATTCTATGAATCGTTTGAAACAGAACTGTTGACACTTATCGAACACAGAAATAAAACGATTGATCAACGAATGATGGCTCTGAATGCAAAAGAACGAGAAAACAATAAAAATAATGTTTAACTATATTTTATATTTCAACAAAGAAATCGCTTTATTTAAGAGGATGTGGGAGGGTTTGAGTATAAATGCTCTTTACTCACACCCACACTCTAGTAACAAAAGAAAGTGCATTCTATGGTTGTTTTGTGAGCAGTAAAATGCTCAGGTCGTATTTCAGCAATCGGATAACACTACAGTACTAAACAGAGTAAAAGGAGCTGCGCTACAAGGAACAAATACGTATTCGGATATATCACATTGTATTGAGGGTGAGGGTGATTGAGTTTACAGATGCGGAGTAACGAACAGTGTGGAACAGGTCAGGCGGGCCTTATGTTGAAATGCTGGACTGCAAATCTGATGGCGATCTTCGAAGTGTCATGTGTTAAGCTTTTGAACAACACAACGCTGATGTGCTCAAACATGTGCCAGCTGAACGGCTTCTCATCTATCGCGTTGAACAAGGCTGGAAGCCATTATGTGAGTTTTTGAACATCCCAGTGCCTGAAGAACT